CAGCCCTTCTCCTCTCACCCCCTCTCCCCTTTTCCCTCTCTCCTTCCCTTTCTCCTCTGTGTGCTGTGTGTCAGCGGTAGCAATCTCGTCTAGCAATCTTGCTGACCTGCGTTCAAATCCCTCGCCGCCTGTGGTGGTAACTCCTGGCCTTCCTTGCACACCAGGGAATAACTTAGAAGCACATACAACAGTTTTGTCAAACCAAGATATCCATTGTCCCACTTATGAATCAAACTAACCGTTTTCTCTCTCCTCCCTCCCTCCCTTTCTTTGTTCTCTTTTTCCCCTCCGTCCCTCTCCCTCTCTCTCTCCTCTCCTCTCTCCCTCTCTTCTCCCTCACTCTCAGTCTGTCTCCCCATCGCTCTCTCTCTCTCTCATCCATCTCAGCTCTCGTCTCTCTCTCCTCTCTCCTTCTCCTCTCTCCTCTCATCATCTCCTCTCTCATCTTCTCTCTCCTCGCTCTCTCGTTACTCTGTCTCCTCTCCTCTCTCTCTCTCTTCCCTCCCTCTCGCATCCCTCGTCTATCTCCTCTCTCCTCTCGTCTCATTCTGCATCTCTCTCTCTCTCTCTCGTCACTCTGCTCTCTCTCTCCTCGTCTCCTCTTCTCTCCCTCTTCTCGCCTCTCTCTCTCTCCCTCCCCCTGTCCCTCTCTCTCTCCCTCCCCCTGTCCCTCTCTCTCTCCCTCCCCTGCTCCCTCTCTCTCTCCTCCCCCTGTCCCTTTCTCTCTCTCCTCCACCCCTGCCCTCTCTCTCTCTCCCTCCCCCTCGTCCTCTCTCATCGCTCCCATCCCCCTGTCCCTCTCTCTCTCTCACCTCCCCCTGTCCCTCTCTCCTCTCGCTCCCCCTTCCCCTGTCCCTGTCCCTCTCTTCTTTCTCTCTCTCTCATCCTCTCTCCGTGTCATCTCTCTCACTCCTTCCTCTCCCTCCTCCCTCCGTCCCTCCCTGCCCTCCCTCACTTCACGTCTCTCCCCTCTCCCTCCCTCCCTCACATCCCTTCCCCCCCACCCCTTCTCTGGTGTCCCCGTCCCCCCCTCTCTCTCTCCCTCCCTCCCTCCTCTCCCTCATCTCTCCCCTCCCTCCCTCTCCCCACCCTCTCCTCCTCCCCTTCCTCTCCCTCTCCCTCCCTCCCATCCCTCCCTCCATCCTCCCCCCTCCCCCTCACACCTCTCCCTCTCCTCTCCCTCCCTCTCCCTCCCTCTCTCTCCCTCCCTCCCTACCCTCCCTCCTCCCCTTCCCCTTCTCCTTCCCTCTCCCTCTCCCTCTCCCTCCTCTTCCCTCCTTTCCGCCTCCCCCGCGCGTCTCTCTTTCTCTTTCTCTTTCTCTTCACCCTCCCCGTGCGCTCTCCCCTCTTTTCCTCTCCCTTCCTCTCTCTTCCCCCCACCCCTCTCTCCTCTGCCCCCTCGCTGTCTTCCTCTCCCCCTCTCCTCTCCCCCTTCTTTCCCCTCTAACCTCTCTCGCCTTCCTCTCTCTCTCTCCTCTCTCTCACTCTCTCTCTCTCTCTCCTCTCGCTCTCTCCTCTCCTCTCTGTCCTCGTCTCTCTCTCTCTCCCTCCCACCTCCCTTCCTTCCCTCCTTTCCTCCCGCCCTCTCTCTCTCTCTACTCTTTCTCTTTCTCCTTCTCCACTCCCCTCCCCCCTCCCCCCCTCTCCCTCTCTCTTCCCCTTTCCTCTCCTCTCCCCTCTCCACCCTCGCTGTCCTTCCTCTCCCCTCTCCCCCCTCTTTCCCCCTCTCTCTCTCCCTCCCTCCCTCCCTTCCCCCCTTCTCTGTCTCCCTCCCTCCCTCGCAACCCCTCTTCCCCTCTCCCCTCCTCTTCCCCCTCTTCCCTCCCCTCCCTCGCCCCCCTGTCCCTCTCTCAGCCTTCCTCCCCTCCCTCCCTCCCCCTGTCCTCTCTTCCTCCCTCCCCCA